AGAAAAATAACCCAATTTAAAAATAGGCAAATGATCTGAACAGACATTTCTCCAAAAAAGATATAAAAATGGCTAATAAGCACACGAAAAGCTATTCAATGTTATTATCTGTCAGGGAAATGCAAAGAAACCAAAATCAGAAACCACTTCATACTATTACAATGCTATATTCAGATATTAACAAGTGTTGGCAAGGACATAGAGAAATTGGATCCCTCATACATTGGTGGTAGGAATATAAAATGATGCTTTGGAAAAACAACTAACAGAGGTTAACCTCAGAAGGTTAAACATAGAGTTACCACATGACCCAGCAATTCCACTCCAAGGGATTTCTTTTTTTTAATATTTATTTTTTTAGTTATAGGTGGGCACAATATCTTTATTTTATTATTTTAGTTTTATGTGGTGCTAAGGTTCGAACCCAGTGCCTCATGCATGCTAGGCAAGCTCTCTACCACTGAGCCACATCCCCAACCCTCCAAGGGATTTCAAGAGAAATGAAAACATAATGTCCACACACACAAAAAAAATGTGTACATAACTTCATTATTAACAATGCCCCCAAAGTAGGAACAATCCAATGTCTATGAACTGATGAATGAATAAACAAAACATGGTATATGTATACAGTGGCATATTAAATATCATTTGGTCTTAATAATAAGGAATGAAATTTTGATACAAGCTACATCATGGAAGAATCTTGAAAACATAAAATGAAAGTCACACAGTGACAAGAAGATATATATATATATATATGTTTTTGTTGTTGTTGTTAGTGCTGGAGATCCAATGAACTCAAGGCCTCCTGCATGTTAGGTTCTATCACTGAGCCACATACCCAGCTCTGATTCCATTTAAATGAAATATTCACAGTAGGAAAATCAAAAACGACAGAAAGTAGGGCTGGGGCGGTGGCTCAGTGGTAGAGCACTTGCCTAGCACGCATGAGGCACTGGGTTCGATCCTCAGCAGCACCACATGAAAAATAAATAAATAAATAAAGGTATTAAAAAAGAAAAAAAAAAAACTCTAGAAAGTAGATTAGTGGTTACCTAGGGTTGGAGGTGAGGCCTGAGGGGACAAAGCTGAGGAATTGCTAATGGGTATAGTTTCTTGAGAAGGAGGGTGATGACATGATGGTTACACAACTCTGAATATACACAAAAATAATTGCACTGTACATTTTAAATAGGTGAATCATATGTGAATTACCTCAATCAAGTTGTTATTTGGAAAAACTGGAAGCCAAGTTTCTTGTGATCTCAGCTAAAGTCATTTGGGCTGGTAGGAAGTGGTCAGAGCAAGCAAGAAAATAAGTCAGCCAGGTGCAGTGGCCCACGCCTGTAATCCCAGTGGCTCCGGTCGGATCATGAGTTTGAAGCCAGATTCAGCAAAGGCCGGGCACTAAGCAATTCAGTGAGACCCTGTCTCTGAATGAAAGACAAAAAGGGCTGGAGATATGACTCAGTGGTAGAGTGTCCCTGAGTTCAATCCCTGGTAAAAAAAAAAAAAAAGAAAACAGAAAAATCTCAAGAGGCTTAGCTAGTCATGATAGCAGATGAGGCTTTATGGACGATAGGGCTTGGGGGTGTATATTCTGCAGGACCCCCTAAGATATCATCACAGTCCACAGACTGAGGTCCAGAACCTCAAAAAAACTGACAAAGCTGATTCTGTAGGCCTCTGTAGCCTTCTCTTGTGATGCTGGCTAGACCAGCCAGGCCAGTCCTCTCCTACCACTAAAATTCTTCCACCTGGAAAGGCTTACCACACCCTGCTTCCTCTTGGAGCCCTAGAGATGTCGGCTCCCACTGACCACTCCATTCTCAGCCTGCCTTCACACTACGTACAAGATGACATTGCCATATTGTAGTTTACAGTTTCCACATTCTAAAACTTACAGATATGGGAAGAATGTAGGCACATACACACTGCTTCTCCAGCTGGTAAGGACAAGAGGATCAGCCATGCTTCCAGCCTATATACCCTTGACTCTTTCTCCCCACCTGCTCAAGCAGGGATTCTGCAGCCCTTTACTTGATGCTCCAGAGATTTCAGGTAGACCCCAGGAATGCTGCAGTTACCAAGAAGTTACCATGTCTACATTCTCTTTCCTCTGCCATTCTTCTAGTCACCCTCTGCCTTCCAGAGGAGGTACAAGTCTTACTGGTGTTGGTCACATTTGGCAAAGGATTCCTGAGTAGCACAGCTCGGGTGCTTCTACCTAACCAAATTGGTGTTGAGAAAACCCACTTTTGGAGATCAACTTTGTTCCTGTGCTTTTAGGGGAGTTGGGAGTGCAGCATCTAGTGCTTAGCTCAGAATATGTCCTAGAGAGGAACTACACTGAATCCAGCCTCCAGCCGTGATCCCTGCCACTATTTACAACCTCTGGTATGTACTTTGCATAGACCATGAAATTCCTCAGCCATGATCAGGAACCCTAGATTTTCTGATGCTGAACTGGGAACCCAAGTTGGAGAAGAGAAGATTGCCTGGGATCTTGGACCTGGAAACTTTTTTGTAAAGTCTGCCAAACTCATAGATTTAACATTCTTTTACGTAGATTTAACATTTTACGTCTATCATCCTCTGCCCAGGTTTGTGGCAGGCAGGTCTTTCTTTGAGGAGGTGCTCATTGAATCTGGCTTTCTAGGAAAGCTGTGATATTGATATATACACACACACACACACACACACATACATACACACACACTTTTTAGTGGTAGGTGGACACAATACCTTTATTTTATTTTTGTGTGGTGCTGAGGCTCGATCCTCATGCCTCATGCATGCTAGACGAGCGCTCTACCACTGAGTCACAACCCCAGCCCCAGCTGTGTTTTTCTTGATGCCTACATATGCCTACTCATTCTATTGTGGCTAGAGTCATCAAGTAAGAAATACTTGTGAATCCTTGGGCCCTAGAGATTTTGGAACAGCACAGGCCCCATGAGACGAAGCTTTCTGCATATTGTCCCTCTTTTGGAGAGCAAGGATGTTCTTAATTAGCATTGAGATAAAGGATCTGAGAAAGCCTGCTATAAGTGGTGTTTTGCTTTTTTGAAAGGTGTTTCCTGAACATTTTTGCTCATCCCATCCAATATCCTGGAGCACATCTTGGGAAGTGCTATCCCCTTCAATGAAGTCCTGTGTCTAGCACTCTGCCCTTGCCAAGCTCTCTCCTCCCACCCCAGGACTCCTCTCCATATCTTACCAGAGGCATAACCCACAGGTGCCTCCACCCACTGGGTGCCAGTATCTCTCCATAAACACCAGGGACCCCTCTCCCCATCTCATACCCACAGCTACTCTTGCTGGGGTATCCTGAGTTGCCTGTGCTTCCCCACTCCCTCTCCAGGGCATTCCTTGTCCTCTAAGCTGCCCTTGTGAGGCCACAAGCATGGGATATCACACTTGGCAATAAGCCAAGGGGCAGGACTGGCCCTTGAAGGACTCTCAGAACCTGAGCCCCTTTTCTCAGCTTCCCTACCCCCCAAAAGGACTCTGCCTCAGGCAGCAGAACAACAGGGGACAGGATGGAAGGTGGGGATGGGGGTTGGGCGACAACCCTGCACAGCCTTATCCTGAGGCCGACCTCCAGAGCTTGGCATTTGATGAATGAACAACCATTGAGGTTCTTGAAAAGAAGCACCCCACCACCCCACTCCCCCACCCCGCCGCACACACCTTCCCCACACCTGGTTCCAGACACATTTCCCAGGAGGGAACTGGCCACTTCCCCAAACTCAGACACATCCTGGCTGGAGCTATCTGTGGGCCGGGCACCCCTGGGGCAGCCCGGCAGGGCGGGGTGTCCTGGAGAGCCGCGCGGATGGGCCTCACACCCAGGCTGGGCCAGGACACCCAGTCCTTGGCCGAGGCCCAAATCCGCTCTGTTTACAGAATCTGTCAGCTGGGCTCCCCATCCCCCACCCACCACTTCCCCTAGAGTCCTGGGGACTGGGAGGAGGCAGGCGGGGCCGAGGGAGCCCAGGCGACTGCCCTGCGAGTCCCAGCGGCCCCTCAGGCCGCCTTCCCCTCTTGGCTCCTGAGACCATCCAGTCTTCTGGTCTCCTCTTCAGATCCTCGGGTGACCCTCACCCTGGGGGAATGTGCTTTTCTAGAGAAATCTGCAGACACAGTGCTTACCCCCGAGGAAAACGGAGTAGTGGTGGGCAGATAGGCACGGTGCCCACAGGCCCTGAGGGGTTTCTAGGCCAGGGGCTTCCTGGAATTCCTTCCCACAGACGGGAGGAGGCTCCCTGCTTCCTCGGGACCTGCAGTCCGTGGACCCTAGGGAGCATTTCCAAAACTGATGGCGGGACTTGGCGCAAGTTGGATGTCGCCTGGCGAGCAGGGCCAGGGTCGAGGACTTTTAGTAGTAACGACGTCCTGAGATAAGGTCAACGGCCGGCGGGGCCGTGGTGACTCAGATCCAGCTGGCGGAAAGCAAAGCCTCGCAGGCCTGGAGGAGTGGGACCGGGGGGCGGGGCGGGGCGGGGCCAGCGATGCCCCGCCCCCTGGATCAGGGAAGGGCTGCCCACCACCCCCAACTTCCCAGAGGCATCCGGATTTCCCATGGATTTCCCCACCTGCTTCAAATAGTAACAAAGGCTGGCATTTTCCAAACGCTCACTCTGTGCCCTGTGCTCACTTGACAGGTATCTTGTCGGTAAGTTACTCCAACAAGCCTCTGAAGCAGAGACATTATTACCTCCATTTGGAGACAAGGAAACTGAGGCTCAGAGAGGCCAAGTGATTCGCTCAGCATCACACAGCTACTGAGTGGTAGGGATTACAGCTTCCAAGCTTTCAGACCTCTCCTGCGCCTTCTCACTCCCCATGTCCCACTCTGCCAGGTGCCAGAAGGTTCCTAGGTGATGCCTTCCCAAAGCGAGACTAGGAACCTGGATATCCCCGGCCACGTCGGGGGACTAACTCAATACAAATATCTATCATTTCCAAACAAGTTAAGTGTTATTGATTAAGCATCTGTTGAATTCCCAGCCTGGTTTCCAGTGGTGAAAAAGTTCTCCAGCCTGAGTTTCCCCATGACCTCCTATGAAGGAAATTCCCAGATGCAGGGCTGGCCTCAACCCCAGGGGATTACTGCCACTCCAGCACCCAGCCTTGCTCCCTGGGGAAATGCAGTCTCCAGAAAGCCCCTGATTTGCTTAAAGATTAGCCCCCATACCCTACTCCCACCAGCAGGCTCCTGCTCATGTGGGTTGAGGCCAGGACAGTGCCACAGAAAGGCAGTCTGAACCCCAAAGGGAGTCAAGGGGCAAAGAGCAGCCTGCACTAGGGGCCACCCTGTGAAGGAAGGAGCTCCTGTCATGTGGAGTGGAAGCATCTGTAGAGAAATGATTCAAAGAGAGGGTGGGGTGAGATGACCTCACAACCCTGAGCTCCTCTATCCTATAGGTCAGAGGGTGTCCAAGAGAAGGCTGGTTCCAACCACTGCTTATATGGAAACTTTCTCAGGCTCTCCCACTTCCTTCCCCTTTGACCTCTTTCTGCTGGGCTCTGTGATCTTCCCCCTGGAGACTCAGAGAACATCGGGAAGAAGGACACTCCCACGTGTCCCTGCCTCAGTTTGTCACTCAGGTTTACTGATCAGTGGGTGGGTGGGTGGGGCGCTCTGGGAGGCTCTGATTCATGGGAAGGATGGAGGGAGGGAGGAGAAAATCTTGAATTGAGACTCTGCTCTGTGTTTGCTGGTGGTCTGACCTGGGCCCGAGTGGTGGCTCCAATCTCTTTCCCAAATGTATGAACTTGAGCAAAGCTACTTCACCTCCCAGGGTATCTACAAAATGAGAGAATTCAAATGTCAGCCTCCTTTCTGGGGAGATTGTTGGTAGCAACAATGCTAGCCACGGTGACCAAGCCTGAGGGAGCGATGGTGGCAGCCCAGCTCTACAGTAGACATAATCATCCTTCATAGTTCTGTCTGGAGGAGGCAAGACTTCAAGAA